GAGTTCCTAGTCATGTCGTTCGGGCTAACCAACGCCCCGACGGCATTTATGGACTTGATGAACCGAGTATTTCATAAATACTTGGACCGGTTCGTGATTGTGTTCATAGATGATATCTTGATTTACTCAAAGAGTGAAAAAGAGCATGAGGAGCACTTGATACTTGTTCTTGAGACACTACGGGAGAAGCAACTCTATGCCAAGTTTTGCAAATGTGAATTTTGGCTAAGGGGGATTGGCTTTCTCGGGCATATGGTTTCGGGATCAGGGATTGCCGTAGATAACAAGAAGATTGAGGCCATTACTGAATGGGAGAGGCCAAAGAACGTCAAGGAAATTCGTAGCTTCCTTGGATTGGCAGGGTACTACCGAAAATTTGTGGAGAAGTTCTCAGTTTTGGCATCGCCATTAACAAAGCTCACTCGAAAGGGGGCCAAGTTTGTATGGGATGACCGATGTGAGAAGGGATTCCTTGAACTGAAGAAGAGATTGACTGAGGCACCGGTACTCGCACTACCCAAACAGGGTGTGGGGTACGATGTCTACAGCGACGCAAGCATCCAAGGGCTTGGATGTGTCTTGATGCAGAATGGGAGGGTGATTGCCTATGCTTCACGACAGTTGAAGAAGCATGAGGTAAATTATCCCACTCATGACTTAGAGCTGGGGGCGGTGGTGTTCGCATTGAAGATTTGGAGACATTATCTCTACGGGGAAACATGTCATATTTACACTGACCACAAGAGCCTTAAATACGTGTTTACTCAGAAAGAGTTAAACATGAGACAGAGACGGTGGATGGAGTTGATAAAAGACTACCACCTAGTTATCGAGTACCACCCCGGTAAAGCCAACGTGGTAGCGGATGCCTTGAGCCGGAAGAATTCATCTAGGGCATTATTGACTAGCTTGAGGGCATTGAGAGCCCAATTGGAGGTATCTAGCGATGGTGCCTTGTTAGCCAGATTCGAGGTGAGACCTACATTACTTGATGAAATCAAGAAGGGTCAAGAAACCCACGAAGAAATTATGAAGATCCGTGAACGCATGCTAGCGGGACCGGTTGAGGATTTCAGGGAGAGAGATGATGGTCTCTTATTATTTCGTGACCGAGTGTGTGTACCGTTGGATGATGAGCTCCGAAAGTCCATCTTAGAGGAGGCTCATTCATCGGCGTATGCCATGCACCCGGGAGGCACGAAGATGTACCGTGATTTGAAGGAAAGTTACTGGTGATCGGGTATGAAGAGGGAAATAGCCGAGTACATCAGTAGGTGTCTTACTTGTCAGCAAGTTAAGGCAGAACATCAGCATCCGGCTGGGTTACTACAGCCACTTTCCATTCCTGAATGGAAGTGGGAGCACGTGACTATGGATTTCGTGGTGGGGCTGCCATGAACGGTTAAGAACTATGATGCCGTATGGGTTGTGGTCGATAGGCTCACGAAGAGTGCACACTTTCTACCTATCAACACCACCTATGCACTGGAGAGGTTAGCCAAGTTGTATGTGGATGAGATCGTGAGGCTACATGGGGTTCCTATAACCATTGTATCCGATAGAGATCCGCGATTCACATCACGATTTTGGCCGAAGTTCCAAGAATCTATGGGGACAAAGTTGAAATTCAGTACATCTTTTCATCCACAAACGGATGGGCAATCTGAGCGGGTTATACAGATATTAGAGGATATGCTGAGAGCCTGTGCGTTGGAGTTCCAAGGGAGTTGGGACAACCATTTGTCACTTGTGGAGTTTGCCTACAACAACAGTTATCTGGCGAGTATAGGCATGCCTCCATACGAGGCATTGTATGAGAGGAGATGTCGTACACCGTTGTGTTGGGATGAGGTTGGCATGGCCAAACTCGAGAGCACGGAATTGGTGGAAATCACCAAGTCTAAGGTGAAGATGATTCATGAGAGACTTAAGGTGGCCCAGGACAGACAGAAAAGTTATGCCGATAAGCGCCGAAGAGCCTTGGAGTTTAAGGTGGGAGATGAAGTATTTTTGAAAGTTTCACCTTGGAAGGGAATCATCCGATTTCAGAGCCGAGGGAAACTTAACCCACGATACATAGGGCCATTCGTGGTTCTTGAGAGGATTGGGGCCGTGGCATACCGATTACAGTTGACTCCAGAATTGGAGAAGATACATAACGTATTCCACGTGTCCATGCTTAAGAAGTATATGCCGGATCCATCTCATGTATTAGAAAAACCACCCGTGGAAATACGGGAAGACTTGAACTACGCCGTGCAACCGGTAAGGATACTTGATAGGCAAGTAAAGAAGCTAAGAAGCAAGAAAGTTCCAATGGTTAAAATCCTTTGGAAGAGTGACCGAGTTGAAGAAGAAACTTGGGAGACTGAAGCCTCGATGAAGGAACAGTATGCATTTCTGTTTGAATAATCATTGTGAATTTCGGGGACGAAATTCCCGTTAAGGGGGGGTGAACTTGTAGCACCGTCCCCAAGCATATTTACTTTTAGTAAATTATGTAAAAAACCTTGAAGGATGATTTATGAAATTTCGTAAATGTAAATTTTTATTAATTCTTTTACGTGAATAGTAAATTGCATGTGGGGCCCACAGCGAGAACGGGGACCGCCCGATAATTCCCGAACCCCATATTATATTCATCTTGGTCTAGATAATTTTATGGTGGTGGATATTTTATTTGGGCCATAAGGAAGGCATGGGGTTGACCGGTTGGTCAAACGGGGCCCAATGACCGGTATTGGTAATTTAACGGATAACAGCCCGAAATGAGTTCCGGAGGCTTCTAAATTAATGTTGGGGAATGTACATCTATTCTAAAGGTTCATAATTATTAGGGACGCGTGATATATTTTATTTGGCCCGATAAAATAAAATATAATTAAAACGGACCGAAAAATACAACTTTCGGGGCCGATTGTACACACCGGGACATAATGGGATGACCTCCCACATAAGGGGGGGCCACCCCACGTTTTTAGGTGACCAGATTGACAAGTTAAGGGGGAGGGGCGTGCATGAGGAAGCCTCATGGAGACAAAGCCTACACCCACCCATTAACTCCCTTGTCTTACTCCCTCAATCATCTCTCAAATTGATTGAGGAGAAGATATCCCCCCATTCCATTTCACCCGCACAAGCCTAACCTCAAGAGAGAGAGGAAGCTCTGGAGTTGACTTCTACAAACCTCAGCCACAGTTGGAGAAAGCTAGGAGGAAGGAAACCCAAGAGAAACTAAGTTAAAAGAAAGGTAAGAATTCAAATAGTTCTTTTAACTAGTTTTTGGTGTATGATTTTTGAGAAATCATATGAGGGATTAAACATGATGTTCTACACGTTTAAAAGTGTAGAATATTGATATAAAGTGGTGATATTTAACTTAGAAGAGTTGGTGAATCGATAGGAGTCGAAATCGCCGGAAACCGCCAATTTAAGGGAGCTGCTCGTTTTTGCAGACCACGAAAGCCGCCCGACTTTTGCCCAGGCAGTCCAGTTTTGCCTTTGCATCGGTTTAAAACGAGGATTTATCGGGGAGCTCAACAAAGGCAACTATTTCAGCACATCATAAGGTGAGTAACACATAAGATAGGACCCCGAAGGGCCTTACCTTCCTACGGGATGATGGGTACGAGTCCAGGAGCGGGATGTTGGAGTCCGAACCGGGAGCCTCATGAGGTCTCGGACAGCGGTAGCAAGTCCCGTAGAAATAAGAAGACCCAAGGGTTGGGTTGTGCAAATGCTAAATGAAAAGGAATATATAAGAAGGGCCGTGGGCCGACAGATGAATAAATTCACTTATTATAAAGATAATAAGTGGGAAATATAAATTGTTATTTATATTATGATATCACCCTATTTTGAGGGTCTTGGAAATTAAAACGTTGATTATACTTAGTATAGTTGCTATTGTACTTGTCAAATATTTCCAAGTACTGACCTCCCCTTCACGGGGGAGGCCACCTCACAGTTTCAGGTAGAACTTGAAGGTTGCTACCGGCGCCCGTTGCTTCGGGGATTTTCAAGGGAGAAGACGTGGTTCGTGCTTCTTCTGTTTCATGTTTTCAAAACAATTATAACAATGCTCATGGATACTATTTTCTTAATAATTACTTTGGGGGCTTGTATGCCTAGTTATGCCAAGTGTGGCTTGGACAATTGTATTAATGTTTCCGCTGTTTTAAATGCATGTTTTACATTATGTTTGTTTATGGATGTACTATGTGTGAATGATATTCATGACGCCTTGTATAGTATGGATGAGTTGGACTGCGGTTGACTATTCGTACTGTACGGAAAGTTGTTGACGTGTCCGACCAGGTCCGGGGCGTGACACTGTCCCCCTATTATTGTCCCATTTCCTATTCACTTGGTCAACACAAATCACTCTTAATCTCTTACTTTATGTATCAAATTTTTATCAAATTTGATTCTGGTTTTTGCGACTTTGTAAATCTTTTAATGCAGTTTCTGAATATGTAATTTTTTTTCCTAAAAATAATTTGAGTGCGAACAGGGATCTGTTTGCTTTATCGTCGGTCAAGCATCGTAAACCGCAATGTGACAATAACAGGGGATGAAGGGAGTATTGTTTAAGGACCCCCTACAAATCATTTCTAACTATCAATTTCTAAGGCCCACAAGTTAGATTAGCTCACCACTATAAATTAAAGTTTAGTACTGTTTTTTTTAAATCAAATGATTGGTATCGCCCCGAATATATACAAAACTTTTCCCATTCTGTACCAACTTTCAATATAATTTGGTACGCCTCTTCGGTACCATTCGATTCGTAAATAAAGTAAATGATAAAATACCGTATAAACCATAAACATATATTCGAATGCTCAAGTTTAAAAGTTATTTTGTTTAAAGTGAAATATTAATGGAGCAAAAACAAAAATGTTCATCGCAATTAAAAAAAATATTAACAATCATACAAAATATCTGCCAAAGACAAATCGGGACAAATTTGAATAACTAAGAATATTGATCAGAATTACCGGTCCAGGGGAAGCTTAAGCTTAATACCGACACCGCTGTTCATCTCCGAAATTGTGGACTCGGGTGGTGCTTGCGAGATGATGGTGTTAGGTTTGTTGCAGGTGTGTCGCGCCCTTGGCAAGGTTCGCCGTCTCCTTTCGGGGGCAGAGTTGCTCGGGATTCCGGAGGCTCTCAGTTGGCTGCAAGGATATCGGTGGACGGATATTGAAGTAGAATCGGAAGCTTTCTGAAATTTTGAAGGGGACAAGTTGCTCTTGAGTTGGTTTGTTGCGGGAGAAGACATTAGAGACTTAGCAAAGCTTTTTTCAAGCATTTCATTTAGTCACGTTAGTCGATCGGTGAATAAGACGGCCATGCCTTAGCAATAGCCATTTGTTCTTTATCTGATTCGCCTCCTTGATTTCATTTTCCTCCTACTTTTATTATATCTTCTCTTGACAATGATTTGATTGGTGCTAATTAAATTTTTCCCTTGCAAAAAAAAGAATATTGATCAGAATGAATTGAATACTAGTTCGTAAGATATGATATAGTTACTAATTGGATTGGGTTAAACCGGAGAAACTTTAGTAGGATATATATATATATATATATATATATATATATATATATATATATATATATATATATATATATATATATATATATATATATATATATATATAAAAGATCAAATACAAATTAAACCATGCTTAAAATACTAACTTACAAACTCAATAATATGCAACACTTTAAACTTCAATATGCAATACAAATAATATAAAGATGCACAGTTTGTGACGGTTTGTACGTTAGCATGGAAGGACTAGTTTGTATGTGATCTCACTCCTATATATAATATGATATACTACTATTATATAAAATAACCGGTATTTGGGACGGTTCAGAACAATTCGGTTTGATGTAGTGTTGGGATGGTTCTCAGTGAAGAACCAATACCGACAAACAACAACATCCAAGCCTCATTCCCGAAAAAATTCAGGGTCGGCTAACATGAATTGATCTATGATATCAGAGCTAAAAAGAGAAGAAAGATAAGAAAAATAAAAAGATAAAGTAAAATAAAATAGATAAGATAAAGATAAATATAAAATAAAAATAATATAAGAACATAATTAAGATAAAAGAACAAAAGAAAGAAAAAGGATAAAAATAATATAGGAACATTGAAAGATAAAGAATATAAAAATAACATAAAAACATGGAAAAATAACTCATACTCTTAAAATATATGGGTTAAAAAGATGTTAAGTACATAATTTCTACATAAAAAACAAGTTAGCTTATTTTCTACATTTCCATTAATGTGGAGTATATCCTTATCATCCTCCCTAACAATACCATCATGCACATAAATATTAGAAAATGTTGTTGTTTGAGATAAATGCAACATATTCTTTGACATACAAGATCAGGAATTAATCGGTAATTTAGTTTCACATGTCACGTTAACAACTCTTATATTCAGAACAAAATGCATAAGAGAGCACCTTCAAAGCATTTGGAATTTTTGGAAAGAGCACTACACTGTTAACACCTACATCTTTTGCCTTTCAGACCTGTATCATAAAAATAGACTGGTATTTAAAGCATTTGGAATTTTTGGGAAGAGAACTACACTGTTAATGCCTACATCTCTTTCCTTGATGGTACCCACAACGTGATCCCCCAATGCAAATAGGAAAATGAAAATACGGCCTTCTTCAACAAGAGCCCCATTTTTGAGCAAGTATGCCATTAAGAAGAACTAGAATAAAGAGCGTGTGGTTGTTCGAATGAGGGGTACATAAAGAGTTGACTCCAAACTCCCCGGTCTTGTTTGTTACGAAGGGAGTTTGGGTTAGGAAGGATAATGAGGGGAGACAATCAACACCGCAACTTTCAAAAGAGATGATGTCGTTTGGTTCGGGTTATTCTCACCGTGGATGTTGCAGTTTGTCTCATCCTCTTTGTGATATGGCTAGTCCTATGTGAAGGAACAAAGTGTATTAGTTGACACAAGTTATAAGATGACCCTTATCACAAAGAATCTCTTTTCTCAACACCTCATATCACGCTTCATTAATGATGATTATATGAATAATAACACTATTTTTCCAAACCCCTCATAGTCGTATGTTTTCTGTATACTTTAGTCTTTTCCAATTATATGCACTCATGGGCTGAGAGAGTTACAAGCAAGATATCGTGATTTGAATTACAGATGAAAGATTATCCATTTCTTGATGATTGTAAGATGGAAGACCCACCCCAATCCTTGATATTTTCATCAGAAGCTCCTTTAACCGAAGTCCGAACAGAAACAACAGCAACACTAGATATGGAAGACTTGTTGAAAGAAACAAAGGAGGTGGAAGATATGAAAGATTTGTTAGACTGGGTTAAATAAAAAGTTCATCTTCCTTGAAAAGTCAGAATTAATCTTAAACATTGTTGTCACAAAATGGGTGGATGAGATCACATTTCAAGTCCAATACGCAATGATGTTTTTGTGATTTCTAAGATTTTTAATAGGAAAATGCTAATGAAAGCAACAAGATGTAGAATAAGTGCATTTGTACAATTTAAAAGTGCACACCTATGCAAAATAATTACTATCTTTGTCCACCTAAGATTGGGGGATGAGCAAGTGATGTTGGTATTAAAAAAGGTAGAACTGTGTAGTTGATAATTGAATTGATAAAATGTTAATAAACAGCAACAATGACAACAACATCATTCAAGGCTTATTCCCAAAATATTTTGGGGTCGGCTCATATGAATAGATACATGGTATCAGAGTCAAAAGAAAAAGAAAGATAAAAATGTAAGGTATGATAAAAATAAGATAACAAAAAAGAAAAGATAAAAGATATACATAAAAATGATGAGATACAGCAACAATCAAGTCTTAATTCCAAAAGATTTGGGGTCGGCTAACATGAACCGATACATGTTATCAGAGCCAAAAGGAAAGAAAAGATAAAAATATAAGGTACGATTAAACAGATAAAAAGACAATATAAAATAGGGATAAAATATACAAAAAATGATAAAATAATACGGAGTAAATATGTATATATGTGTGTGTGTAATTTGTACTACATCCGTCCTGTTGAAAGGTTTTCAGGGGCAAAATGACATGGTTATTTAGACAATAATTAAATAAAGTAGTTAAAGTATGTTCTTAGAAATAATTTTAATAGGTATATAATATAATAAGGTTAGTGTTGATAAATGTTATAAATGTATTATTTTTAATATTTAATGATTAATTTATCATTTAAGATTGTTAATTGTTTACTAAAATGGAAACAGGAACCTTCATATGGGAAGTCAGTGAGAACCTTTCTATGGGACGAAAGGAGTAGTAATTTAGAAAAGGATAAAAGGATAAAAAAACATAAGAAAGAAAAAAAAAGATAAAGGAAATGCTAAAATGATAAGAGATTGATCCACCACATGAATGTACTCCCTCTATTTTATTCTCTCCAAAGTCATTGATTGCATTGGTTTTGTAGTGTTTAAGTTTTTACTTTTAATTGGTTTTTACGGTGTGTTGTTGTAGTAATTGCACATGTACGGTGCAATCATTTTACTTTTCTAGTTTGTTGTAATTTAGTAAATTTAGAATCATCCTGTGCAAGAATCAATCAAGGACCACCAAAGGATCATGGAAGGGATCTTACAAGATAAAAAGGTGCAAGGGAGCAAGAAATCATGCAAACAATGTGATTTGATGTCACACCCGATCAGGTATAATCAATACCCGGCTGGTTATGATTTAACCCGGATATTTACAAGATAAGATTAAGAAAGAAATGTGGGAAAATCAGATTTGGTCAAATACCCGATCGGGTATATTGACGATGAACTAATGTTGTTCTTATCCGGTTGTACGGTGGTTGTCTACGTGGCTCGGATGCGGTCCGGGGCGTGACAGTACTCATATGTAATCCTAATATGTAATCCTAATATGTATCTTTCTGATTTTTTAATCGGATGAAATCATAAAAATGATCTATATGATTTAATACAATTCGTTTGAATTAAAGTAATTGCAGTTGAATTTTCAACGTGCGGCATAAGTCATAGACTACACAACTGAGAAAAATCGGTTCCTCTTTACAGATTACACTCTAACCATGGAGGGGTTGTACAACTTCTATGACTTATGCGGTTATGCCGCACGTTGAAAATACTAACATAGAGGGGTTGTACAACTTCTATGACTTATGCCGCACGTTAAAAATCCTAACATGGAGGGGTTGTACACCTTCTATGACATATGCCGCACGTTGAAAATCCTAACATGGAGGGGTTGTACACCTTCTATGACATATGCCGCACGTTGACAATCCTAACATGGCAGCTTTATGATGATGATCACGTACATTGACTTGTGATATTTGTAATTTACATTATTGTGTTAAACATGAGCTAGCTGATTGAATTATTTTTTGAAACATTGGATTTATTATCAACTTTATGTGATATTTGTACTTTTGTTTTGTGTCTCGGATATGTTTTGTTTCTTAGCAACCTATATTGACTATAAAGAGCCGCTGTTTGATGTTTCTGAATTGACTGTATAGTACGTACTGAGCATATTTTTGTGTTTTTTCAGTTGAATAAGCTGGTGTGGTAATTACTGGCCAAAAAAGCCGCCACTCGAAGTGGCGGCTTTTGACTGTAAGAGAAGAACCGCCATTGGAAGTGGCGTCTTTCCTTAACCACGGTTAACCCCAGCAGTATTTTGAGAATTATTTTTAACCCAGCAGTATTTTGGGAATTATTTATTTAATTAGCATTATTGCGGGAAAAAGCTGATAATATTTGTGTAGTTCTAATAATGTTTATAATTGGAGTGTAATTTTCTCATTTATTCTTTTCTGATTTGATCTGATTTGTTTAAGTTTGGTTTAAATTAGTTTGGTCTGATCTAATAGATATATGTTTATGTGCATTTTACAACAGTCAAAGTGCGGTTTGATTTAATCTGATCTGAATTGATCCGGGGTGGTTTAAAATTGAAACTAATCCAATTAAAAACATCTAAACCATTTCTTCTTTATTCACACTTGCAAATTCACACAACTACACTTTTCTTAGTAAATGCAATTGCACTACTCAATTTGAGGTGGTATTTACTTCATTTTTCTTCATAAGTCCAATGCATTTTTACTTTTAAGACTTGTTCAATCTTTTAACTACAATGTTATCATTAACGGCTAGAGAGAGAACTCAGTGTATGTATAATCAATAATCCTTTTTTACATGGCTCCCAAAGAGACTATTTATAAAGAAAATCTGGATTAGGCTATTAGGTTGGGTCTAGGCTAGCAAGCTCAATTATGTAAAAAGGGCTAATAAATGATATTCCTTCCGTATCAAAATAACCACATCATTTGCTTTTTCACGTAGTTTGAGATAATTAGTGTAGACTTTACAAAAAATGAGGTTTTTGATACTATAGCAATATTGTATGTTTTATTAAAGTGTA